CGGGCTCGGGCTCGTCGACCACGGGCAATGCCTGCCTCAGTGTCGTGGCAAGTCCCTGTTCGTCGCTGCCCAGGATTCATGTCTATAGTGAGGGCCAGGCCAGGCTGCGTGCTGCCGTGGATTCCTGCTCTAGTAAGTCCTTGATCAGCTATCGCGTTGTCTCCGAGTTGGGTGTACCCGTTCAGCTCGTAGAGTCCAACCCGCGCATTACCGCCATCGATGGGCAGGAAGTTGTGGTGTCTGGGCAAGTCCGGTTGACTGTTCATCGTGACGATGACAAAGTGCACCTGCCTGAAGTTACTGCTGATTTCCTCGTTGTCGACACCTTGGATGTGGTTGACGCTGATATCCTTCTGGGACTGGACATTATCTCCTCCGTGGGTGGCGTGCACCTTGGTTATGCCCCCGATGGTGTCCTCGCAACCGTATGGTTTGGTCCCCCGCGTGATCCGTCAACTGCATCCGATACCACGTCCGAGTCTGACAACCCGGAGAGCTCCGCTAAGTTGCCACGCGATGTCTCTGTGTCACGAGATGGGCCGAATGTCACCCTGTCCATGGGTGATGCTGAGGTCGCCTTCGACGCCGAGCGTGGTTTTTGGGAAGTCCAATGGCGTTGGTCGGCAGGCGCACCACCGCAAGCCCCTATTGGCTCTGGTATTGGCGAATACTCCCGCCAGAAGTTGTCACCGGAGCAGGAGGCCAAGTTCCAGGCCGAGATTGACCTTTGGCTGGCGGAGGGATGGCTTGTACCGTATGATGCTGATCGACATGGTCCACCAGGCGCCGTACTGCCACTGTTGGCTGTGTGTCAGGAACATAAGCCTACCACACCCGTGCGTCCGTGTTTGGACTACCGTGCGCTGAACGTTCGGATCATCTCCAGCCCTGGTCGGGAGGCACCCGCGTGCCCTGAGAAGCTTCGCGAGTGGCGGCAACGGAAAGGCGCGTCCAAGATTGTCGACATCCGTAAGGCCTTCCTGAATGTTCGCATCCACCCAACCCAGCAGCGGTTCCAGATGGTCGTTTGGCAAGGACGACAGTACGTGATGGAGCGCATGGGCTTTGGCCTTGCCATTGCGCCGAAAGTCTTGGACACTATTGTGAAATGGGTGACCCGTGACTTCACCGACACCGATAATTACATTGATGACATCATCACGCCGACAGATCAGGCGGAGGCCCTTGCGGACGCGCTGACCGCCCATGGATTGCCTACGAAACCTGCTGTGGACGTTGATGCGACTCGCGTCCTTGGTCTGCAGACGCACGATGGCCAGTGGGAGCGACGCGAGCCACTGCAACCCCCTCCTACCCAGATGACTAAGCGGAATGTATTCCAGTGGTGTGGTCAACTGACTGGTCATTATCCGGTCTGTGGCTATCTGCGCCCTTTGGCTAGCTGGCTGAAGCGCTTGGCGTCTGCAACAACGGATGCCTGGGATGCAGCTGTCCCCCAGGAGTTGTGCGACCTTTGCCACGATGCGGCAAAGCGTGTGGAGGGCGACGACCCTGTTCATGGAGCCTGGACTGCGGACGATCCCCAAGACTGGCGTGTTTGGTGCGACGCCTCCAGCATTGCCTACGGTGTCGTGCTCGAAGCTGATGGTACTGTACTCGAAGACCAGTCGTGGCTCCGCGGTGCCACCGATAAACGCCACATCAACGTCGCCGAGCTAGATGCCGTGGTAAAGGGCCTCACTCTCGCGTCGTCTTGGCGTATCCCGAAGTTGTGCATCATGACCGACTCCCAGACGGTGCATGGGTGGCTGCGTTCTCTGTTCGACAACATCAAGCGGGTTCACGTCAGTGGGTTGCACGAAGTCCTCGTGCAACGCCGGCTGCAGGTTATTCTCGATATCGTCGACTCGTCCGGCATGAGTGTTGACGTGGTCTGGGTACCCACACAGCAAAACATTGCTGATCAGCTCACACGTGTCCCACCGCCGTTCCTCCGCTTTGCCCGCCAGACTGCGAAGATGTCTGGCCCGATTGGTGATGCCGATGTCGTTGGCGCCGCTGTCGCTGATGATGCCGCCTGGCGTGTCCTAACCCTGGGCGAGATTGCCGCGGCGCAGCAGCAGGACGAGGTGATTCCGGTTGTCGTCGAGGACCTTGTGGCCGGCCATGCTGTCCGTTCGCCGGCATTCCAGCGTGTTCAGCAGCAATTGACCGTCGTGGATGGCGTGCTGATGCGGAGCGTCAAGCTACCCCCTAACGAGGTCATGTCAGTACCAGTCGTGCCGAATGACATCGAAGAGTTCGTTCTTCGGGGTGCCCATCAACAGACTGGCCACGCCTCCTGGGAGGTCATGTGGCGGTTTCTCCGGGGTGTCTGTTACTTCCCCAACATGGCCGAGAAGTGTCAGGACTTCATCCGCCGCTGTCCCCCCTGTACGGCTGCAAACCCTCGTGGTGGCCCCGGTGTGCCACCGACACGACCTGTCTCCGCCAACGGCCCCTGGAGTGTTGTCTCCATCGATACCTTGGAGCTTGGTGTCAGCCGTTCTGGTTACCGCTACGTACTCGTCTGCATCGACCATTTTACCAAGTGGGTCGAAGTTGTCCCGATGAAGCGCCACTGTTCAGCGGAGGTCGCTGCTGCCATGGTCTCTATCTGCTCACGATGGGGCGCGCCTGAGGTTGTGCGTAGCGATAATGGCACTGAGTTCGTCAATGCCATTGTGTCAGCCCTGTTCAAGTCCTTTGGCGTCACGGTCCAGCGGGGCGCTGTTCGACATCCCCAGTCACAAGGTTCTGTGGAACGTTTCAACCGGACGCTGTTGACGATCATCCGCAAGACGCTCGAGGATGATGACGACTGGGAGACTGCCCTCGAGCTTCTGTTGTTCCACTACCGTTCTCGCCCGCACACCGCTACGAAGATTAGCCCGATGGAAGCCATGCACGGCTGGCAGCCTCACCGTCTTCTCATCGAACAAGATTCCACTGAACTGTCCGACAGCGCCTGGGTGGACAAGTTGCAGCGGAAGTCTGCCCGCCTGCGCGATCACCTCGAAGTTGAGCTAGCACGGCTTGACTTCCTCGATGCTCCCGTGCCCGAGTGTCCATACCCCGTTGACACTGCCGTCCTTCTTCGGCGTCCGGAGCGGCATTCGAAGATTCTCACCCCCTTCGAATCTGGATGGCACGTAATCCGCATCATCTCCCCGTCGACAGTCCGTATTGCCACAGCTGATGGTCGCTCCAAGCTGGTGAACGTGGATTTGCTGAAGAGAGATCCACAGGCTCCTGATGCGCATGGCCCTGCCGACGCGCCGGCGGCAGTGGAGGCTGACGACCGGGACCCCGTTGTCCAGCTCGTGTTGCAGACGCCCCCCGTACATGATGCCATGCCTGACACGCCCGTCCATGGCTATGGTTTGCGCGACCGTTCCAGTCTGCAGGTCCCTGGTCGGTTCCGTACGTAACTCACACCGTTGTGTTCATTTACTGCAGTTTCTTGCTGGTTATTCTGGCCTTTCCCGCATCCATATGACATGCCTTGTAGAGTCCTATTACCACTGTGTGTGTGTCTCTAGTTTTGGTGCAAAATCTGTTTTGTCCAATGCCGCTCGCTCGTTAGTCTCCGTTTCCTCTTCCATGTACTGCATGTGTCATTCTGGACTTTTTCGTGTGACGGTACATTGCACCATATGCTTTGTGGCTGCTCGTGCCGCATCTATTCTGGTTGCGTGGGTATTCTCTTTTCTATTCGGTTCCGGTATGGTTGCCCTTCACTTGCTGTTTGCCATCTTTTATGTATATCCGTGTGTATGGTCCATCTGCGAGACCGTTGTCTTCTTTCCCGCATTTTGTGTCCCTTCTTTCCACTTTTGTCCCCTTGGAATGTTTCTTTGCCCGTTCACTTTGGTGATACAATTTCCCTGTTACCAGGCGGAGGAGTGTGATAGAGTGGTCCCATGGTAACAGGACTTGTCCAAGCATGCGCATGCTCCAAAGTTGTTGCGCAATGATGTAGTGCCTGTTGTTGTGTTGAGCCCGATTTTGATGGCGGCTGGTATGTAGTCTTTTCCTTTTTGTACTTCCCGTTTCATGTTTGTTCAGTCCTAATAATTATAATATTCCCGTCCTATCCGGTTGTGTTGCTGTGGAGTCCGGGAGGAGAGTTTTCAGTCACAAGTCCTACACGGAATGTTTAGAAAACGCCAGGGAATAGGAATTTGCTAACGAGAACTCCAGGCCAGGGTACTAGCATACGAACAAAACAAGATAAAAACTCACCAGTATACTTGTAGTAATTCATGTCGGTGTAATATTCACGATAAGCAACGAGGCACCCTCCGATTTGGTCAAGCTGCTTTGAAGTCTGGTTGTTCAGGTGATACAAACGGGCTCCCTGTTGTTACTTCCAGCAGCTTCACTCTCCCTGCGACAGCGGCTATCAGCCTCTCTCTCCATCGTCGACAATTATCACAGATTCAACATTCTACATTTATCAGCACTGCACTGGGTGAATATGTCTCGAGACGAATTTACATGATTTAGCGGATCAACAACGCTTTGATGGAGATAAATTCTCCTCTGGAGGACCTTCAGGGTACCTGGAAGGGTATAGAAGACGGGATCGCTCACGGCGTTGGGAGAACATAGCAAACAACCTCTTCTTCGATTGAAAATTGGCCAAAAAGTGTGTGAAATGTATGTGCGCAGATGCATTTCCACTGGCAAGCTAATCCCTCATTACGTCATCAGCGCTCGCTCGGCCGAAATTCAAAAGTCGTCTTCCTGCTCGACTCGATCGCTTCTGGAGACTCGTTCTTGTTCGAGGGGTCTTCTCTTTCACCTACCTTCGTCTTGGCATCGAAAACTCGGCGTCGAAAATGAAGCCGGAGTGCCCCTTTAATTAATATTTTGTAGTCGACTGTGCATGTGCATGTGCCATGTGGTAAATCTACCACGTGGCACACTGGAGGATTGGCAATCCTTTTGAAAAATCAACTGATCGCGCGCACCATGAAAGGCATGATGGTAGATCTACTGACTTTAGTGTAGATAATTCCTTCCATGGGGATCCATCCGGGACTCTCGCTTCCACAAGGACTTCTAGATTTGCGTCTTTGATTCCTCTACCAGTGGTCGAAGCGAGTCTCAGCTCGAAGTTTGGGTCTGTTGCTGTTGCGGATGCAACAGCCTGGCATAAATAATTGAAAAGAAGTCAGTCCCGAACTCAAAAACATTTTCATCATGGCCATAACAAATTGCTTGACGTACTTAGTGCCCATCGCACTGGCTGTACTGATAATGGTGCACTATCCTGAGCCAGAGTTGCCTGCAGATATACTGGCCATGAGAAGAACAGGCTCATATTTCTCTTTCAAATCGACCGCCAATGGAGACCATCTGCGCATCTTTTTCAGAGGTGAGAATAAAATACGCGTATACATGGTATACGCGATATACGGTGCATTCCCCTCCCCTGCCCCACGATACGATAGCTACATACCACACACACATGTTATTAGAGAGGTTAAGTTCATTGCATTCCCAACTCATCACAACCACGCGCTCTTCAGCCGAACCATACAGACACAGCAAGGACACTTCCGTTGAGAGATAATATTGCTCCACGCCTCTAGACAGCTGTTTCGCTCCCTGTCGGAGCTCATCAGTAGAGGATGATAATGGAGGAATGATCATTCTTATACACCAGAAATGGCGCAAGTGCGCGCTTTCCACATATCAATGGCATATGGAAGCTGCTAAAATGGTAAAGTGTGAGAACAGCGATAAATAATCATAGTACTCGCTCATTGGTGGAGAAACACACCACACACACCATTTTAGCAGCTTCCATATCTTTATCCTCAGATTCAGTATAACAGAATACTCTGTAGACGAATTCCAGGTCATTCTTCTTTTCCATTGTGTACTGTTCCTCGTCAGTGTGCCGTTCTGTGTGGAGTGTACACGTGCATGTGGTGTCCGTTGTGTCTGTTTATGTATGGTCCGTGCGCTGGAGTACTGCCGCCGTACAAGCTCACTGCCTTTCAGGCAGTGAACATGTACGGTGGCAGTGCCCTAGCGTACGTACCGTGCACCGGGATTTATATTCTATATAAGTCCCGCGCGGGATTTATACTGGCCAATATAACCATGGCTAGACGAGCGCTGATTGGCTGAAAACAGGCCCTCCGTACCGTACCATGGTATAATTTCAGGCATATCCTGGGATTCGAACCCGCACTATCGCCCTACATGCATTCCCCCATTCACTTCGCATTCATACCCATTCTTCCAAGTTGCTTCACGTTATGATCTTGCGTTTGGAAGCCCTATTTGAATATTGCGGCCAGCTGTGTTTGATGGTACGGTACGGTACGGGACAGATACGGGATAGCGCCAGGCGTGACACAAACAAACAAACACACAAATACCAAATTAAAGCTGTGTGGACCCTGGCTAGCGCCAGACGTTACTGAAGTAACGTCTTCTGCATAGCTACGGGAATAAATACTGTGTACTGATGCACATGTACTCCATGCGGCCGGCCGTGCCGAGGTCTCAGCTTTACATATGCAAACGGTCATGGGGAAAAGGGAGAAAGAAAAAAAGATAGAGGGGAGAGATAGGGAGCTGGAATAGAGGTGAGTGGGCATGACGTCTGAATAACTTTTAAAAGAGAGCGTAATTAAAAGGTGTAGGCAAAGCAAGAGCTCTCGAATGCATGCTGCTTCATTTGGATGTACTTCGTACCAGTGTTTAATTAAACTAGTGTACATGTATGCGCGTGTGTATGCATGCATGCATGCTTGCGTATGTGTGTGTGTGTGTGTGTTTGTGTGTGTGTATGTGTGCATGTGTGTGTGTTTCGTAGATCTGAAAGGCAGCGGACCTGCCACCAGGAATCTTTTCTTGCTGCACGGTTTCCCAGTCAGCTCCAGCGATTGGAATGAGGTCGCTATTACAGTCTAGTCATTCCCCTAATCTAGCTTTCAGGCAATCCATGTGCTACCCGTAATAGAGCTGCATGGGTTAGAGACTTAGAGTCACTATTCTCACGTTACTCAATGGGACAAACATACTTCTACCGTGTATGGAAGATCTGCCAGTTGAATCATCCATACCGTGCAGGATTCAGTGGGTTTTAACCGTTAGTCAGTGGGGGATGCTGCGCATAACGCAGTGTCATGGTTATCGATGTAGACAGGCAAGGAAGATGAAGGCAATGAAAATCTGTTCATTAGGAGCTTGTGCAAAAGCGAGAACTTCAAGTTGTTCTTTCTGCATGTGAAAACTGAACACCCTTTTCGCCAACCTCTCTGCCATATTCGAATATGGACGAATTGTGTATGTCACGTGGTGAGTGCAATAAGTCCAATGCCCTTGCTCTCGTCTTTCTGAAGCTGCAGGGTGTAGTGCTGTATGCATGCATCTCTAGGTGGTGACTTTACTTTTTTTTCTGTGACACCAGTGACCTGGTGTAGCATGCTGTGTACTGTTCAAGTCTGGGATGACTTCATTTTCTTATTGCAATGGTTTTTTTTGTATACTGTAGGCGTAACTGGCCAGAGAAATCCAGCCTCATGAATAAAATAGCACCGGGTGCTACGCAGCCCTAGCCCTAGCACTACACACACTGTTCTGTGCACTCGAACGCGGCGCTACTATATTCACGAGGTTGGATTTCTCTGCCAACACAATATAGAATGTTGCAGCAAGTGTTGTAACAAGAACCGTCACTCTGTTTATCGTCTTCTATTTCTGTTCATTTGTGCCCTTTGAAAAGGTGATTCCTGGCCTTCAGGAAGAGTTTGGACGTCTGATAGTGCCTGAGCAGCTTGGTTATGGACTGAGCGACAAGCCGGTTAGTGTAGTGGATGGCTGTGCTTCCTACCCTACTCATTTATTACGCACACGCGAGAACACACCCGCGTGTGCACACACACATGATACACACACACACACACACACACACACACACACACACACACACACACACACACACACACACACACACATGGTCATGGTCATGGTAAACACTGCCATTACGGTCACGTGTCCCCTTGCAGGGCCGACAATATGGAACGACAAGCGACGGCAGTCCGCTGAGAGAGAGGTACTAGGTCAGGGACTCAGGGACCATGTTCGAGAGAGCCATCTCTGGCAGCTATGGATCTGGCTTATCATCGGAAACGATTCCTCTCACGGCTTCCGCTGGAACTGGTCCATTACTCTCCACAACAGGGCGAACATTCCATGAGCCAATGCTCAGAGTCGTTCCAAGTCGTCGTCTTCGTGCGGTAGTTTGCTCCACTCGCGGGCTTGCAAAGCCTCGCGAAGGACTTCCGAGGTGGGGGCGACGAGGAGAGTGTCGACATCGTAACTATCCGACCAAGTCTCCTGTCGTTGAAGACCCCACGTCAGGCACTGTTGGCCTGGACGGCTGGGGACACCCCAGGCCGTCCACAACGACGAGAACAAGCACGGACTGAGGCCAGAAACAAGAGCCCAAAAACGTACAACCGTCCTCCACCAGAGCAGAGAACACACACACGCACACACGAAAACCGTAGCTCTGTGAATTGCCCTAACTCTGACCCCGATGATGCTCCTATCCCCTCTTCTTCTCATCTCTTCAACTTTGAGCTGCCCCACTCCGTGGAGATTGATGTTATGACTGCGCTCATAAACTGACTAATATATGCATGAATGGACAATGGATTGTCTTGCGTACTACAATTGCAGTTGACAACTCTGACTGGACTAATTTTAAAATATGTGTCTATGTGTGGGTGTGGGTGTGTGCGTGCGTGGTGTGTGCGTGCGTGCGTGCGTGTGTGTGTGTGTGTGTGTGTGTGTGTGTGTGTGTGTGTGTGTGTGTGAGTGTGCATGCGTGTGTGTGTGTGTGTGCCCGTGTGTTCATGATGTATATGTGCAGTGGCCACACAACTATACAATCTTTGAGCAGGCGGACATCATGGAAGCTCTGTTGAAGAGTAGCGGCGTTGGCAATGCCCATTTCCTGTGCCATGACACTGGTCTGACAGTGTGTCTGGAGATGCTGGCAAGGTGAGTCAGGCAGGTGTAGAGTTTCTGCAGAATGAACTGCTACCCACCCAGACCCACATCCATAGCCCTGTGCATGTGCGTGCACATGCAAACACACACACACACACAAACACACACACACACACACAAACACACACACACACAGTCACACACACACACAAACACACACACACACACACACACACACACACACACACACACACACACACACACACACACCTTGAACCTTGAACCTTGAACGTGCCCATTGCCGATGGCAATGATAGCGAAGGGACTATCCGCTAGCTTTGCAGTACGGAGCGTGGCGCTTGAGGTCCCCGGGACGACGGCAGACCTTTCCACATGCGCAGCGGAAGCCAGAGTCAGGATCAGGAGGAGCACGGGCGGGAGGACGACGATGAGCAATCTGCCTCCAGGCAGAGCGATCCTGGGCAGCATCAAACCAGCAGTCAGAAGGCACAGGGGGGCTGATGGAGCGGAGATCATCCACGATGACGTCACGCCACCGCTTGCGTGGACCATGGCGAGGGCGTGTTGCAGGGAGCTCCCCAAACAAAACTCGCTTCGGCATGCGGTCGTCGTTCATCCGGCCAACATGGCCAAGCCAACGCAGTCGATATACCCGGATGATGTCCGCGACGTCACAGTCAATGCCGAGGTGACGCGGTTGTCCCACTGGTCCCGCCTGGATACGCCAACGATGATGCGAACACACTGGTGATGAAAGGTGTTGAGAGAGCGTAGGTCCGGTGCCTTCGGCGTCCACGTCTCTGCTCCGTACAGGAGGGTTGTCAGCACAAGGGCGATGTACACGCGGCGCCGACAGCGGAGAGATAATGACCGATTCTCAAACACTGGGACACGGAGACTGCCGAACACACGCGAAGCCTTGGCGAGACGGGACTGAACATCATGCGAAGACTGCCCGTCCTGATGGATGACGCTGCCAAGGTACGTAAAACTGTCAACGGCCTCGATGGTGCTCTCACCAAGTGACACCGGCTCATTCGTGGGCGAATTGACAGTCATGCATTTGGTCTTCGATAGACTGACCGTGAGGCCCCACCGCGCCGCACACGAAATGAACAATTCCGTGCACCGATCAGAAATCGGCTTAGTGGTGGCATACACTGCAGCATCGTCCGCAAACTGGGACTCTGTGATGACATCACGTTGCAGGCGGGACTTGGCAGTGCGGTCTCCAACCAACTTTCGGCCAACTCGGTAGTGCAGCTCAACACCAGCGTCCGGGCACATGGAGCGCCAATACCCAACGACTGCAGAGAAATGCAAGTTAAACAAGACGGGTGCCAAAGTACAACCCTGACGCAGACCGTTGTTGACATTAATGGCAGCAGTGACACCGCCCTCTATGCGGACCTTCACCTCCATCGACTCATGCAAGGACTTGATGATACTGAGCATCCTTGGGGGAACACCAAACTTCTGGAGCAAACACCACAGCGCTGGACGGGGGATCGAGTCGTATGCCTTTCGCAAATCGACAAAGAGAGCATACAACGGCAAGTCATGTTCGTAAGATTTCTCAATCAATTGCCTGGCAACAAAGATCATGTCTGCACACCTTCTGCCCTTGCGAAAACCAGACTGTGACTCGGGAAGCATCTTCTCCGAGAGTGTCTGCAGCCGGTTCTGAAGAATCCGCGCAAACAACTTCCCAACAACATCCAAAAGGCTGATACCCCTCCAGTTATCACAAACTTTCAAGTTGCCTTTCTTAGGTATTGGAACAACGATGGCATCCCGCCACTCAGCGACAACCGATGCCTCATCCCACACCAAATCCATGAGCTGAACCAGACGATCATGGAGCTCCTCACCACCCGAGATAATCATTTCGGGAAGGATACCTGATTCCCCACCGGACTTTCCAACCTTCATGGAGCGCATCGCCGCAAGCATCTCTGCCTTCGTCGGGGGATCATCCAGTTCGGTCTGCAGTGGCTCATCCGGGATAGCTGTCACACACACACACACACACACACACACACACACACACACACACACACACACACACACACACACACACACACACACACACACACACACTTGTACTTGTACTTGTTGCACACTGCCGAAACTGGTCACGTGGGTCTCCCCAGGAGAGGGGAGAGAGACTCAAAAGGAATCTTGGAAAGATGACTCAATTGGCTATTGAACTGCCCAACGGCCGACACCCCCTGAAATCCCCAAAACTCTGGGTGGACTTGAAAATGATCCCATTTATGGGCTCACCACACCTCAGTAAGTGGGTGAGGACAAGGTGCAGAAAAAGGATTGACGGCATCAGGGTATCCGTCCTGGGATCCAACTGCAGTTACCCCTGCCCCCAGTGAAGGTAATACATGCTACTAGTGTGCGTGGCTAAATCAGAGTGGATCTGATATTAGATTCACCAGCACCATTGATTACACAAGAGTTAATCTAGCCAGAAGCAGTCCATGGTCAACAGGTATGTATACTTCAAATAGAAAGTAAATGAACCCTGGAACCAACAAAGGTGGCAGGTACAACATTACACCTTCAAGTAGCCGAGCCCGTTGGCAACAGACCCAACACAATCAGGCATAAGTGTACCCACCAACCGAACTAGCTCACACACACACACACACACACACACACTACTACTACTACTACTATTGACAGCTGCCAGGATTGGCCACGCCGCTCCCAGATGGGAGGTACTGTCAGAGAGGTTAGGGGGGAGGAAGGCAATGCTCCAAGTGGCGTTCCAGATCTTGCCGCCTCCGGAACCGTCGGTTGTGGCAAACTTGGCAGTGAAACTTGAATTGTTGGCGTTCAGCCACAGTAGGGCGCTTTGGACAGGTTCCACAACGGTGACGCTTGAGACCCGCAGCCGATTTAAATGAACGCTGACAGTTGGTGCAAGTTACACCAGGAACAACAAGAGGCGCAGGGGCAGGGGCCGGCGGCTGGTCGACATCGCCTAGCCGACACTTATGCACCGCAAAGCCTCCTCTGCTACGTAGCCATCGGTTGCATGTTGGACACTGTACTGATCCAGGCTGCTCCGATACCGGGAGCTGACGGATTGCTGAACACTTGTGCCGGGCCATGTCGGAACTACGGCGGAACAGACGGTTGCAGGTTGGGCACTCGATGCTCTTCGGGGCGGGTTCCTTGTCCTCACCTGCTGCTGTCACCACTCCACGCCACTCTCCACGATCGCTTGCCAACTCAAACCAGTTACGCACTCCCGCCACGGATAGGTCCGTGTGAATGGTGTCCTTCCAGCGACGACGAGGTCCACAGAATGGCCGAGACTGAGGGAGACAGGCAAACAGCAACTGCTTCGGTACTCTGGTGTCATCAAGACGAGCCAGGTGCCCAAGCCACTCCAACCGTCTCTGCTGCACCATGCGTGACAATGGTGTGGGATCACCCCACTGTGCTCGCAGTTCCTGTGAAGAGATGCGCTGTTCCCACTGTCGGCCTCGCGATACGCCAAGGATGGAGCGAATGTTGGCATGGTGAAACCGGTCCATTCTATCTAAATCTGCCTTCAACGGCGTCCAGCATTCTGAACCATACAGAACCGTTGACAGTACGCAAACGACATACAGGTGGCGCCTGGTAGGGAGGTTCAGGCTCCGGTCATGTAGGATGCGCCGAAGACCACCAAAGGCCCCTGCACCCTTTGCTAGACGGCTCCGAATGTCCGCTTGCGACCGCGAGTCTGGAGTGATGGTGGAACCAAGATAGGGGAATGAGGTGACTGCTTCAACCCTATCACTGCCAATGACCAAATCAGAGCAATCAGCAGGGCAAACTCCGAAACCTGCAACGAGAAGCTTGGTCTTGGTCATGCTCACTGTGAGACCCAAGCTGGATGCGACCTCACAAAAGGCACACAGGGATTGATCGGCTGTGTTGCGAGTTGTAGCGAGCAGTACAGCATCATCCGCAAACTCGAAGTCATCAGCATGGCCGGACTCGGAGTGGGGACGACGCCTAGTGACACGAGGGAACAGCTGGCCATCAATTGTGAAGCTGAAGTCCACACCAGACTCTATTCCACGCTCAACGAGAAGGGATCGCCAACGCTCAATAACTAAGCCGAAGTACAAGTTAAACAGTACAGGTGCCATCGCGCACCCTTGGCGCAGCCCATTCTTGACAGATATCGGATCCGTGCAACCACCGGCAACGCGAACGCAAGCTGACATGTCTGTATGGAATGATTTGATGATGGCCACAGTCGGGGGCGGCACACCCAGCCGCAGCAATGCCTGCCAAAGAGCTTCGCGAGGGACAGAGTCGTACGCTTTGCGGAGATCCACAAATACGCAGAAGAGCTTCGATCGATGTTCGTACGACTTCTCGACAAGTTGACGGACAGAGAAGATGGCGTCCGCACAACCACGGTGCCGCCGAAACCCGCATTGGGATTCAGGCAGTTCCGCCTCAGCAATACCTTGCAACACACACACACACACACACACACAGACACACACTCACATGTTTTTTCTTCATTATTTGAATTCATTTAGAGCACAGGCAATTCTACCTTTTCACCAGCGGAAAGACCTCCGGTTCCTACAAAGAACGAATAAAACAATTGTGAGAGTAATACTAAAGACGGGGGTCTAAACACGAAATGAACGATGTTCGTTTTAGGGACGACAAAGAACTTTTGCGACAACCCCGAAGGAGTTTCTATCCCCAAGAAGTTTGGTTCACCGGAACCAAGAAATACTTAAAAAGGCAACGAGTGGATTTTCTTTTTGTACTGGTGTTCACACTATTGCCCAGAAGAAACAATTTCTTTAATGTCTTTTCTTGAGTCTCACTCAGAGTCACCATTGCTCAATTGACAAGTCTCGATTCAAGTCGCGAAGTTTTCCTTTCCCCAGGAAGTAGTTACGAACTTAATTAATTGCATTTTGTGCAGAGCCAGCTTAAAGGCACACGCCGCACTGTGTACCAGAGTATCACTGGGAAGTGCATTCCACAGAGCGTTTGTACTTCCCATAAAGGATAGTGATTGACCACTGACCGTATACATTAGAGAACTGCACTCTCAAGATGCGCAATGTGATTGTGCTGCTGCTGATTCTCGACACCTCAGGTTTAACGCACGGAATGCGGACAAGGACACGCGAGACAGCGGCGTTGTCATCCAGTCGTTTGCCTTCAACAATGGAGGTACGTGTCTGGCATGCGTTGCTTCCAGAAGAGCTCATGTTTGTGGTGCTGTACGATTCCTCTAATGCGCGGCTCCTTTTTATCAAGTAGCCCGTCAGATACACATGTGCTTAGTCAGGATGACCTCAATGACCTCAATATGCAGTTCATTCTGCTATACTTGTACTTGAGACATTTGATTTGTTGCTGGAACCCAGACACAGTTCTAGTATACTAGGAGCATGACGTAAAGAACTGAAGAAAGTAACGTTAACTAGGTATTGTACCGGCTATGAGTCGACCTTTCATGACCTAAAAACTGAACTGAAAAAGAGGTCGACTTCCAACAGTGGTTCAATCGCCATTGAACTGGGAAATCAAGGCCCCAACTTGGCCCCTGAGTGTTGCAGGTCAACTTACGACTGGTGAAGAATGTAGCAATTACGAAACAGGAAGTAAATTTTGGCCGGGTTTGTTGAATTAGGGCAGGTTTACACGCTACTTTTCATAACTCAAATTTGCTCAACCGTTTCTGAGTGGACTGTCTGGCAAATTCTGTCTCTGTCTCTGTCTCTGTCTCTGTCTCTCTCTCTCTCTCACTCTCTCTCTCTCTCTCTCTCTCTCTCTCTCTCTCTCTCTCTCTCTCTGTGTGTCTCTCTCTCTCTTTCTCTCTGTCTCTCTCTGTCTCTGTCTCTCTCTCTCTGTGTGTCTCTCTCTCTCTGTCTCTCTGTCTCTCTCTGTCTCTCTCTCTCTCTCTCTCTCTCTCTCTCTCTCTCTCTCTCTCTCTCTCTCTCTCTCTCTCTCTCTCTCTCTCTCTCTCTCTCTCTCTCTCTCTCTCTCTCTCTCTCTCTGTGTGTCTCTCTCTCTCTCTTTCTCTCTATCTCTCTCTCTGTCTCTGTCTCTCTCTGTCTCTGTCTCTCTCTCTCTCTGTGTCTCTCTCTCTCTCTGTCTCTCTGTCTCTCTCTCTGTCTCTCTCTCTCTCTCTGTCTCTCTCTCTCTCTCTCTCTCTCTCTCTCTCTCTCTCTCTCTCTCTCTCTCTCTCTCTCTCTCTCTCTCTCTCTCTCCTTAGGGATGTTCTCAGCACTGACAACTCCTACCCTAATGCAGAGGGTAAGAATAGTTGACAGCACTCACTGTATAACATTCCAGTACAACTCATACATACATAAATCAATACAGAATGAATTGTGAGTGTTGAATAGTGAGTGTGTTTGTAGAAATCTGCATGTACCTCTCGGGCACGGTGCCATGTCTAGTATACATGTGATATAGAATCATATATTCAAATTCCACGGGCGTGGACGTGCACATGTGCAAGCGAATACTACTAGAGAGGTTGCGCACAATGAAAATCCGTAGCTCCGTAACGAAGAGTCAAGACAATAAAAAAATCGACGGGTTCGCGTACCGGGCAGGTCAAGAACAAGGAGTCGTACAACTCCCTGGTCAGACAAGGAGTTGTAAAATATCAGTATTTAGTACTCCATGTTACGAATAATATTTTCCTAGATCTGCTCTGTTGTCATGTTTTGGTCGTGTTTGGACGAATCTTCGCAGCAAATTTTGTTACTCGAACCCGGACGATCCAAATCTTATGAATTTTCGTTGTGCGCAGCCTCTCTACTGTTATCTTCAGGCCAAGGCCAGCACTTTGTTGCAAGTTCATACTCCATGATTGGCATGAAGCAAGCCAAGGTCATTCCACTTTTATTTGCATGGTGTCTCGCTAAAATCTTGTTTGTGACTACTTGTAGTAATGTTGCCGTCTTCAGACTTTTCCCCGTGTCAATTCTCTCGAACTTATGAATATAATGAATGTTGCCTCACCGCTATTTCCCACAATTAAACTCTAGCCTCCTGCCCATTGTTCGATAACACGTTTAAAGTGTTCTACCTGTTGCGTCTGACATACTCTGTGTTTCCACAGCTTGTTCTTTTGCCTGTGCTTGGCGCAGCCGTGACGGCTGTGGCACCACGGTTTGTGACCGAGAAAAGGTGGGTGTTGGACCTGTTGGCACTGACGAAAGCACCGATGTCTGCCTCAGTCACAAATATTTACAGCGAAGATGCCAGAAACGTTGTGGCGCACCTGCATGCTACAGCACTCATGATGATCTGTATTTTTAGTATACGTAGCTGAAGGTAGTTTATATCTGAGGTTAATTGACTTAAAACATTGATTTAGAGCCAGGCTGCCGTGCTAGCATACTGTATGAGTATGGTCTGTGAAGCGCTGCTTTGTCTCCTAACACAGTGTTTCTCAATGAAATCCAGCGTCGTGAATACGCCATTGCCCTACACCTGTGTATGGTCTTGTGTTCACCGGCCTGAGGCTGCACAGCGCCCATCGCTAGTCGACACACACACACACACACACACACACACACACACACACGGCTGGATTTCATTCAGCAGCACTGTAGAAGCTGTGCACATGGTGCAAGATTCTGGCTTTAAAGCAATGTACTTGTAGAGTGCCCTTCAATGTACACTGTACTGTGAACATAAACGTGACTATTGTTTAGACTGCAGCCGGTCTGCTAGTGCTTGCTGTCATTGCAGTACGGTTTCCTGTGTTAGTCAAACAGCCTGTTGGTTACGGACAAAAGTCATCTCCTCAGTCCTCGGCTGTGCTGCCTGTTAGAGCATCCGGTATTTGCCTGTTGCTTTCTTATGTCTTCCATTGCTGTTCCCACAGTCTGATGGAGGCGTTTGGCCCACGCACTAAGCCCAGCCGGCAGTCTCTGAACAGTGCCATCGCACTCATGTACCGCCAACGCGGTGCCATCGTCTTGAGCAGGTAGGTGAACATACATACGGCAATCTACGCTTCATTCTCCCCTTCCTCCCCCCCCCCGCCATTTCTTCGTGCTCGGTGAACCGCGGGTTTGGGGGGGGGGGGGGGGCGCCCTGCCCCCCCCCCCCCTTCAAAAGTTTCGACCTATGTTTCGAAAAATAAAAGGCAGCGCGCGCGGCCTGAAACGATCGTCCAAAAGCGGTTGCGCGGTATACAGTGCTCGAGCTGGTGTTGATTGTACACACTACAGTCTACAGAGTACAGTGAGCATGCACGACTACAGAAACACGGTGACCTGACTGTGTACACTGTACTGTTGTACAGTGTGATCCCTGCAGGGACGCGCTTGACGCGTCTTCAACGTACCGTATTATCTCTAATATAAGCACGGTCCTTTATTTTTTCAATGTACCTCCTCCCCGTGCTATTAATGGAGACGCTCCTTTATTGGAGACTGTTCCATTATTATTTCAACCTCATTTCAGAGGCATGTTGCCATGCCAAATTCATGTCAGACACACACATTTCAGGGTTTTTTCGCCTGTACAGATAATGAATTTACACAGTGTGTTTATCATGGAGACTGAGCACTTTATTTTTTGAATGCTGCCCCAAGGTGTTCTATTATTGGAGACGTGCTATTATTGGAGACTGTGCTTATATTAGAGATAATACGGTACAAACATCGAAGAAAAGTCTTCGAGTCAACCAAAACACGATTCGAATGCCGAGGGCTCAGGCGATCATCCTCGTTCCAATCGTGTTTTGGTTGACTCGAAGACTTTTCTTCGATGTCTCAGCGACATCCCAAAAGGCCTAGCTCTAGCCAGCAGAGCCTGGATGGATTTTTGCAAAGCGTTCCTGTGGCGGCGCAACTCCTGCCGCTGCTCCAACAGGAAACAGTGGGAGTGATGAAGTCGCTGTTATTCCAGTTGAACTTTCGGAGCGGACTGACAGTCACACTCCGCCAGACGTGGAAGCACCTGTTGTCAGTGAGCAGCCAGAACATGAAGAACAGCGCACAGTGTGCATAGCTCCCAGTCCACAGGTTCATCGACTCCTCGCCAGCACCCAATGTTTGCACTATTGTTTTCCCCCTTATTGTCTTGCTCCCTCTTATGTTCAGGCTGCCTGTTTTGGAGCCATCAGTTGCCTGGTGATCGTGATGTAACGTTTAACTCGGAGTAGCAACACAGTTCTCTTTCTCTCTCTCTCTCTCTCTCTCTCTCTCTCTCTCTCTCTCTCTCTCTCTCTCTCTCTCTCTCTATTGTGTACCGTATAAAGTATAGCTCTGGTGTTGTTGTGGTCTCTGCTGTAGTGTTATTGCCTACATACATGAGAGAGCGGTGCACGAAGACAGATGGATTGGTGCAATGATCAGTACCTCTATCCCAGGTATGTGTACTGTTTTGTTTTACTATTCAGTTGTTTCATGACAGTGAGTGAGACCAACAGACAGACAACGAGCAAGAGCTTGATTCTCCAAATTAATGATGACACGCCAGTGGCAGGCCCAGCTAGATAATAGGGACCTTTCGCACCACGCGTACGGATACGAAACGAATGCTGATTCGTCACCTGGGTTCGAGGATTCATCAGAGTCTCTGCGGAGAGCTCGTTTTCACGAATGGAAGCCTCTTCATTCGTGGCGCGCTCCGAATCCGTCAGGTACACATGTTTTGCCAGGTACACCTTGTTCCCTTGATTCCATGATCCATGCACGTGTGCGTGTAAACACCCGTACAGCTGTCTTCGTAGTTGCCATGCACATTTGCATGACGACTTGCGAAACCTGAATCTATTTTCAACGAAACGATTACGAGCCGAATCAAACTTCGTTTTGCATTTGATTCGTAGCAAATGCGAAAGGTCCCTAATATATAATATACAACAATCACTAGCTAGATTGCCGAACCGCACAACGGAGAATGGAGCTCTTGCTTGATGCGAGTTACTCTTTTTGATTTTTCCTGATCGACCCATCAATTTATTGGCTGTGCCGTGTCCTCCACCATTATCAACGTCATTCTGACGAAGGCCGATATGATGGAAACGTTAACATTCGTCAGTACTAGTATCAAGTCTTGCTCCTGTTGTGCAGTTCGGCTATCTATTGTTGTATGAGACAGAGAGAAAGACAGACTGAGAAGGAGGGAGGGGACTCTCCCATGACCTTCAGAGAAACCCACAGAACTATCGTCAATGTGCAAAATTGATATCCGTAGCAAGCTGTTTGTTCCCCTAAACTGTTTCTTCTGCTGTGTTGTTTTTGATGTCGTTGTTGTGGTTCTGTATGTTCTGTATGTTTTTAACATCATAGTCCACTACATCTATAACCCAGCTGATCCAGTCAACAAGGAGGAAACCTTCCAGCACTTCAAGTAAGCACTCTCCATTCTTACTTCATGCTCCTGCCCGTACTCAGGCTACCAATGATTGCCAGTGTACATGTAGCAGTGCACAGCAGGATTAGAGAGTTTCTGCTACACGGTAACACGTGCCAAAGTACATATGGAATCCTTGTCCGAGTTCGAGATCAAGTTTCACACGGATTTTTCATACCGTTCTCCGCGTGGAGCATGCTTCACGCGGCCTGGTCTCCGTAAGAAAGCTACGACGGTGTCAAGCATTTTGAGCATGACTAGCGCACAGAGTGCATGTGGCGGGAAGCACACAATCGTGTACTCTCTGTGCGTCACGTACAGCAGAACCGGAGCACCGTACTCCGTGTCCAACGTCACAGCGGTTGACACGCAGTTTGATACGTAGTTCCGTGTAGCAGAAACTCACTATTATTGGGATGGAAAACTAGCCTATTCAAAACTACCAGTAACTGTACTTGCAGCTCCATCCATGCCCTCTTCTGGCTCACATGTGTACCTTCTGCCATTGAACGTGGCATGCCTGCCCAGCATGTACCGCATGGGGGGGGGCTTCTTTGATGACAGAATTTGTAATGCTATGAAATTAAACTAGTCGAATTGAAACTATTGGTAGTAGGTCTGACCTGTGTACGTCTCTCAACTGTAGAGGCCATACCCGACGCTTCTGATGACATCCAAGTGCTTGAAGTAGTCTAGGAGTAGTACACTATCATAGATACAGTAGGACAGGCGTAGCGACTTTCTTTGCATTTGTGTGCTTGGCTCGTAGGAAAACTGTGCCGCATGCCACAACCAGTCGAATGCCTGAACACATCGGACACTGGGGCATGCTCGAGGACCCAGAGACCTTCTTGGCTCGCTACTGGCAATTCTTCTCTACCGTTTCCAAATGATACCTGATGCTCCAATGCCCTTTCTTGCTTCTGCATTCGCTTCTATGGACTAAATTAGACATGTTTGTAGCCGTCCATGTTTACAAACTGATCTCCTGGGAATAGAGTACGGTACGATACTGTAATAAGCAATCTTATCAAGGACGCTGTCCGTACTAGGGTTCCGTATAACAAGGCCATGCCTGTTGGGACTCCCCTAGTCAAATAATAAATACTACTACTAATACTAATACTACTACGTACCTGTTACTCGACAGTTAACATGTTTCTTTAGGCCCTAGTAGACTGCTGGTGCTGGTGATACTGATGCTAGTGCTGGTGGTGCTGCTGGTGCTGCGCTGGCGCTGGTGGTGCTGCTGGTGCTGCGCTGGCGCTGGTGATGTTGATCATGCTGGTGGTAGTTGGTGGCAATGTGTCCTAGGGCGGGTAGCTGCTCTACGTACCGTGTCCGGCTACATGCACATCTACAGTGTACACTGTATAATGTACTGGTGTACTGGTCAAGATGTTGCTTTACTCACTGCATGTGTTTAGAGAAAGGTTGACGATGGCTACCTGGCCGGCCACCCGGTACCCATCTGTATGCACAGACATCTTCCCATAACATTTCTTCAAATAACGAAAACAATTGGTCATTAAAACGTTAGACTTTGTGACTCGTTAGACTTTCCGGTTTTACGGTACTCAAGAATCGGAATTTGTAATGGCCTCTTCCACGTTGTCTTACTCTCTTTTTTTTTACTTCGAAGTATTTTTTTATTCAGTTTTTACCTTTCACTGTATATACCAGCTGTGTCTGGTTTCTCCCTTATACTAGTAATTATATTATTACTAAGTTGAAATACTAACCAACCTCTTCCACTTCCTCTTCCTACCAACCTCTTCTTCTAATGATATTAGAAGAAGAGGTTGGTGCGACTTCGGCGATACTTCCCCTGTGTCTTGTTTTGTGTTTGTCTCCACATGTCTCTTTGTAGGGCTGTGTTCTCAATAAAAAATAAACTTATACTTATAGGGAGCACCTCATCTCACCCACTCAGTCCAGCCATTTTACCTCATCTCACCCACTCAGTCCAGCCATTTTACCTCATCTCACCCACTCAGTCCAGCCACAGCCATTTTACCTCATCTCACCCACTCAGTCCAGCCATTTTACCTCATTCTTGTACATGTGTTTAGGAATCTTTCACCACCAACCTCTTCTTCGGAGTAGACTGGCTTTCTAACATGAGCCCACTGCCGAGTGGAGGTCTACATACGAAATTAAGTTACTTGTCAATGAGCAATGAAATTTGGTAGAGTTTGCGTCCAATCTGCAGCAGTGCACAGCCCAGTGTTCACATGCAGGTCTGGGGCTGCCCAGTACAGAGCTCAGCACCGTGACCATGGTGACATGGACTGGCAAGATCGGATTTCATTGAGTTGCCCTGTTCAGTGTATGGACCTATGCAGGGAGTCGTATGGTACCGGTACATGTACGACTTCCTGGACCAATGGTACGAAGGTGGCATCTTGCCTATAGTAAGGATATCCTGGTCTCCGTGCGTCCGTGACCCGTCTTCCCCAAGGGTGTGGCCTCTTTGCTCAAAAAGTTCACTAGCAGTCTGTGGGGTGCCGAGTCGAATGGTTTTGGTCCTAGGATTCTGGAAGCTTAGATGGTCTCTTCGTCCTATTTCCAATCGAAATCACACACTTCCCCCGAAACTGTGTGAGTGCAACATACCGTTTTCCTGTTTGCACTCTGTCACATCAGAGCCATCATGTATGTGCCACACCTAACACCTTACTTCTACACAGTAAGTATCAGTATCACCTGGCGCCTTGCGTTTACACTATCAGTATCACCTGGTTGGTCTGTAAAGTGAGAGAAGCTCCGGTGGCGGTGATGGAAATACTGGGTCTAACCTTGGTTGGTTGGTCGGTTTCTATTTCACTTCGCACATTCAAACGGGATGACGACCCAATAAAATGACGGCGAAGGCTTAGCCTAGAAGTGGCTATGGAAGAACATAGTAAAAGCTATGGAAGAACATAGTAAGTGAGTAGTAAGGAACGAGCGGGTTCTGGGACAGGGGGCGCCCGGGTCCCAAAAAATGGGGTATTATTGAAAAATGGGGTACTAATAGTACCCCATTTTTGCGGTGAAAATTATTTTTGGCCCGGTTTTTTTGCGGATAAAAATATGTGCCAGGGGGTGCCCCTACCTCAAAAAAAAAGGGGGTATTATTGAAAATATGTATTGGGGTGTTATGCTCTACCCTAAACAATAAGGTAATATGGTGTCATGATTATGTAAGTATAAAAGGTGTGTTCTTGAATGATGATCCAGTCAGTTTCAAGTTGTTGTGGTGCAGTGAAAATGGATTCTGAATTTGAGATCCTGTATGCTTATGTACGTTCAAAGAAGCAATGTGCGCTGGAGGAAAAGAAGAAGAAGAAGAAGAAGGAGATAGAGGAAAGTGAAGAAGTGTGTTATCATCGTGAAGAACAAGTTGAGCATGCTGGTCATAGAGTTTGTTCTCAGTGTGCATTGGTAATGTCGGACATTTACATGCCCGAGGTAAAGTGGAGAGAGCGTTGTACTAGCATAAAGACCTACACGGATTCCGATCGCATTCAAGGTGTGAATCGTCATCTTGTTCATTTTCTCAACAAGATCGAGTTCACTTTACCGCATGCACAGTTTCACCCTGTTCAAGAGGCACTGCAAGCAATGAAGAAGTCCAGTAGCTATAAAAGCATGAACTATGCAATAGCATTATCGTGTATACTTCATGAGGATCATGATGCAGTGCGCACACTGCGTTCTTCTTTACCGCGCAGTAATGTATCATGGTTGAGAAGCAGCCGCATTACACAACCTCTTCCATCATGTTTTCCACTGATGTTTCTTCTACATCTCATGGAACACATCAAGGGTCCTCTGTCCGCTAGACAGCTGAACACTCTGAAAGTTAATTTGTCCTTGATGTCACCTGCAGACCTGTCCATGATGCATCTTCTAATAGATGCCTATTGTTGGCATGACTACAGTCTGGAATATTTAGTAGATCACGTGACCTCTATCCCACCTGATCTTGCCAACATACTCTATCAATTTACCAAGACTGCAGTACGTCATCAATGTTAGCAATGCGTTGGAGATTTACACTCTCGGGAACCTGTTCTGAGACATGGTCGAGACACGTTCAGTCATGACCGAGACATGTTCCGACAGGTCAAGTGCAAGTCGTGCTGTGATTGGTTAAATCTTATCATCCGCTCACCGTGTCCTCTGATTGGTTGATTCTTGAACAATTTCACCGTGTTCTCCAAGGTCGTCACCTCCCATAGGATGTTATTTCAAACTCGGCGGCGGTCAAAAGGGTATATATGTGCAAGCACAGTCCTCCATTCACTCACAACTGCCTTTGTTGTTTCGTTGCTCAAGCCTTCTCTCTCTCTCTCTCCCTCTGGATCTCTCTGGATCTCTCGTGACTGATATCATGATGGCCACTGATGCTGTTGTTGCTGGTGAAGATGTTGTGGACTGTTTGGGTATTGACCCGTTCGCTATCAAGACGATAAAGAAACCCGGTCTCTACAAGCGACGTGCTAGCCGTAATCCGAATCTGGAGCCTCTGCCTAAGATCAAGATGCCATCTCCTCGTCCTACCATACTACCAGGTGTCGCCACCATTATTACGGATGGGGCAGCAGAGTGTGTTCAAGCAATGTACAGCAAGACCGCCCACGACTATCATGTTGCTCCTGGCACCGATTTCTACTATACGCGCGGTGATTTACCGGGCATGCTTGTCAATGGCACGGTATGTGAAGGACACTTTGGTCAACTTAAGCTGTACGTCCAGGCTTCACAAGACGATCTCATTCAATTCTTCCTGAAGACCTCAACACCTTTGAGACGTGCCGTGAGATCTCCACATATCAACAGGATACGGAGTAACATCTTCCCTGCAATGTACCAAGGGAAGAGTGTGACTGCTTTGTATCTCAAGCCAACCAAGGGTGTGCCCAACTTCCCGATGAACGAAGAGTGTCAGCTCTATCTGCATCCTTCCACTATATCTTTCAACAGGGAGAAGTGCGAATTCAAGACATGGCTTTCGGCAATCCCCCTGATGTTTGTAGACTCACGGCTTTGTGAAAGGGATCACGACACCGTGCAAGACCTTCCCGAGACTGAATTGACTCGACTGGTGATTGCATTCCTCAAGAAGTGGAGCACTGCTGACAACGTGACTGCTGACATTGCGTTTGACACAACGGTGGCGGCGGCAGCGTCTCTCCCTGACACCCTACCGGACAATTCACTGGACTTGAATCTGCTAAATGCTTAGTCTATCTTACCACATTGATTGATCAGAAAGACTTTATATCCTAACCCTTTTTTTTTTTTTTTTTTTTCATGCTCTCTCACTCTCTCTCTCTCTCTCTCTCTCTCTCTCTCTTGCTAACATATCATCGCTTCATTAGATTACCACTAGCACACATGAGTATCATAATGATTTATTTGAGAAAGAAAATATTTCCTATCATAATTAGAACAGTGTGTGTGTGTGTGTGTGTGTGTGTGTGAAGATGGCGTACTGGGCTACGCATTTCCATAGGAGTGATGGGGAGGAGACTTCCCTCAAGCACATGCAAAGCATGCAGAATGATATTACCGAAATACAATCAGTTGTGGGGAACGATGACACCGAAAACACCTTGGTTTATGATGTGGAGAAACTGAAAGAGGTGAAAGCCGATGAGAGCAAAGTGGAAGATGTGGAAAACAGATCTACGCGCTACACAGATCAAGCCATAGCAGCTGATGAGCTGCACGTGAAAACAGATGGATCCGTGTCCATGGATGCTAACCTCGACATGAACGAGCATTCCATCTGTAATTTGGCGTACGATGATAGTTCTTTGACATGTGCTGTCCCTGCCGGTTGGGTCAAGAATGAAATCCAACAAGCATCATCGAGATTGCAAACTGGTATGGACACTGTGCGCAAGATGAAAGGACCTCGTGGTGATCGGGGATTGGGATGGCTTAGCGGAGGTGGCATGCCACTGAACTCTGTAGGGAGAAATGGTGACTTCTATCTCGATGCAACCACGCTCATCGTGTACAAGAAATTCAGCTCGAAATGGATGGCGTTTGGTCGGCTTCATGGATCAAGAGGTGAAGCTGGTCCACGTGGAGAACGTGGATTGATCGGTCCTGAAGGCGAGACTGGACCTAGAGGAGCTGATGGGCAAGGTGGTGAACGCGGTCAAAAAGGTGATCAAGGAATACCTGGTCCAGAAGGTCCCAGAGGTGAAGTTGGACCACGTGGAGAACGTGGATTGGTCGGGCCTGAAGGTGAGATTGGACCTAGAGGAGAAGATGGGCAAGACGGCCGACAAGGTGAACGTGGTGTGCAAGGTGATCAAGGAACCACAGGTACCATGGGTCCCCAAGGAACCATCGGTCCAACCGGTCCTCCAGGAAACAGAGGTCCCGTGGGTCTCCAAGGAATCATCGGCCCCATAGGTCCTCCAGGAACCAGAGGCCCCATGGGTCCGCAATCAAATCAGAACCTATCCGATCCGTTTCATCTACTACCTCTCATTCGGAGAAACGCCTACCTCTACATATACTCTCATCCTAGCAGATTTGAATCCGTCAACAGGGTGAGCAGAAACAGATACAGAGGGGGAAATATCGTTGACATGAAGGACAAGAGAATCAACGTGAACAGCATCGACATGTTCCGAGACGATCACTTCTACCTCAACATTACACAACCCAGCCAAGTTTCCATTAGAGAACGATTCGTCAATCTGTTTCACGACAACATGTCTTTTGCAATGTTCCAAGTAATTCAAGTGGACGCACCTGACCCTAGAAACATGTCATTGAAGGCATTCGATATCGATACTGTCGGAAATTTCAGCTTGGATAGTTTGTACGTGTTGTTCACTGCCACCCACATAAGTGGCAACTACTTCACGCGTCCCGGCCATTCATCATTCAACATACCCGTTTCGTCTTTAGCGAACCAATTATCGGCGGCTTTGGATAAACCTGTGTCGAGCATGACGGATCTCTTGGGTACAAAGTGTGTCATAAGTTACGCTCGGAATTCAGAAGGCCTATTCACTCTATACGTAAACTCCATTTTGATACATTCCAACTTAGACACTGTCCCATTTTCCAGGACCAATGGAATCGAAGATTGCAATTATAGCATTGGTGGTACTCAATTCTTCAACGGCACTTCATCAAAGTTGTTCTGTCATTTGCACTTTGCAGAGAGTTTATCTTCTCATACAATCCAGCGCATCCACACAGAACTCATGGCACACTACGATATATGAAAGTGCTACTTTGATTGTACATAATATATAGCACACATGCTACACTACATTCTTGAGATGAAAATGAAAAATAAAACCTATCTATAGTGAGTGTCATCACAACACCAGAATGTCTGTGATATTGACAGTGGCGAACAACACGTCGGGCGTGAGCAGGGGATTGCACAAACCGAACTTTACTCTAAATGTGAAGGAGCTCGATACGCGTGATAAAGTCCTGCATGTTGAATCGGCTCAGTTTGAAGTACACTTTGAGAACATAGACGAGGCAACGAACAAACTCTATGTGGTACATGGTGTAGAAGAAGAAGAAGAAGAGGATAGACTTTCCATCAAGACTGGAACATACAGCGATGTAGACGATTTGGCGTCTATTATCAATGCCACTCTGAAACGAGCAGGACACGGAGACATTGTGTTTTCCTACTCTCGTCACACCAGCCGCATAAGTGTCTCGGTACCCAGGAATAAACGGTGCTTGTTGAAGAAGGACTCACCCGCATTGGTGCTGGGTGTGGGCACTATTCTCAAGCCATACACGATCGAGGGATCTCACACGTTCCCGTTCGCTGTGGATCTGACGAAAGGCAGAAGACTTGTCCTGCTCTACACCGACCTCATTGGACCTGCTGTGGAGTACGAAGACAATACTGATTCGAGGGTGCTGAAGACTTTTCTTATTCAAACCCTCAACGGTTTGAATAACTACGTGTTCGGGAAAGAAGACAAACGACTGCTGCTTCCACACGAAAACGTGACTAGCATTTCGTTCTGGTTGAAATTCAACACCGGTGAACACATTACTTCCGGATATCCCGTCTACCTTGATCTTCGGATCACCAACACGACTTAGATGGATCTTCCAGATGTTCGTGTCCGTCACGTGCGTGACATGGTGGAGGATATAGCAAAACGAAAGAAATTGGAGAGCGAAAAGGTGCGTTGCCGGGAGAAGTACGTGATTTACAACACTGCAATCTTGTCCTTTCTCATACTCATTCAAACCATTCTCAATATCCTTCAAGGGAGTGGTGTTGTATCTGGAGAACATCGCATTCGAATCATCGCCATCAGTAGCACGATCATCGGTGTGATCATGGCATGCATTGGTAAACACGTTCTCGACACCAAACGTCAGCTTGTCAAGTGTATTGAACAACTGCAGCAGATGGAGAGAGCTGAAGACTCGTTCATGTTGGAATTGGGCATTACTCTTGAAGATGGGAAGCTCACTAACGAGGAGCATCAACGATTGATATCGATGATGAACGACTTTCGCAAGACACTGGATATTGGATCTTTGAAAAAAATTCACCCCTATTATAATGTGACTCGCAAGAATGGCACAGGAGATATACTCACCACAAGCTCCGGAGTCCTTCACGGGACTCCTGACCAACACGAAGATCGTTCAGAAGAACATCCTCGACAGGACGGAGAAGAAACTCTCGTTGCTTGAGGGTAGACGCGGAGTACGACTCTTTTCCACAGCAGATCGATCACCACCATCCCTGAACAATGAACTAGACATCTCGTCGCCGAATTTCATTGCTCTGGGGGAGAGCTATTTCATCGTGAAAATGCGCTATAGTGTCAAAAACAATCTCAATAACCAGCCTGGAGACTACACGCGATGGGTGTGCACCACGTCACCAGCCTTTTCGTGGTTCAAGAACATTCGAGTGGAGATCAACGGAACAGAGGTCACGCAATCGAGTAAAGTTGCCGACATGCAAATGGTTCAGCATATCCTCAGTCTAATGGAAAGCAGCAGCGAACGCCTTCAGTACGTGGACTCGGATCTCTACGGTCTACAGAAACTGGATCCGCAAAGAGCATTGAGAGGTGTGGATTTAACGCCCTATCAACTTGGTGTGAAGCGTAAGCATGGCTATGCCTTCGAAACAAACGCTGCAAACGCTAATGCAGCACAAGCACCGGATTTCGCCGCTAATTTCACACCCAAGCGTGCACCCACCGTCGAGCTTGTCACCAACGAAGGCTTCTCCAACACGGTTCAGAAAAATGCACTTCGTGCAGCTGTTGGACGGTTTCAGTACAAGCTGAGACCCTTCCTACCGTTTTTCAATCAGGACGATGCTTGGTTACCCCCGGGTACACAGGTGAAGCTTCGCTTTGATCTGCCACAATCCGAGCTTTCCAGATACATCATGCTTAGCGATCAAGGCGGTGGTGCCAACAGTGCTCTGAGCGTCGGTGATATTGAGATCGATCTACTTCAATTGGACTTTGTGTACACTACCTATCGCATGGAACCCAATCTCACCGATCGTGTACGCCTTCCCAAACAACTCTATTTCCACACGTGGTGCCCTCGTCTCATACAAAAGAGCATTTCAGATGATGCTGGTACACTGGAACTGCTTCACAATGCGGACATTCCACGCAGGATGATCCTGTTCTTCACAGATTTGACTCATGGTACACAGCCAGCATTGGCTGGAGGCCAAGCATCGCATTCTTCGAACAGACTGGCCATGATTCATGCAAATCTCAGTCAACTTCGTGTCACTGTCAACGACCAGACGCTCTTTGACAACCCGCTCAAGTTCCAGTGGGATGTGAGTCGTAATACTGAAGGGCAATACTTCTACGATTACAACAAATCCTCCTACCTGCGTGGCTACAATCTGGTTCAAGACTTTTTCGGCAAGACGTATGGAACGCAAATCCCCATCACCGCTGCAGATTACTGCAATCACTACTTTATGGTGCCTATCAACTTGAATCTGGATCGGACCACAGACAATCCAAGATCGAGAGGAAATCTGTCCATCGACTATCAATTTAGCGACGTGACAAACGCCCCCGTGAGGAGACCTAGCGAAAATGGCGCCTCGATCAAAGTCAACCTTCTCTGCATGGACAAGTACTTGTACACCATGAGCAAAGATGAAGGTATCAAAGCCGAAGTTGTATGAATTAATTCCGACCTAGTAGTAAAAGGGCATCATGGAAGGTGGTGACCTGGAGACCAGACATCGTGTCTACGGTGGTGATTTGAAAACATCGAGTCGACAACACGGTGGATTCTTCTGGAAAAAGAGCTTCTGGAAAAACCTAATCGGTGCTGGACCGGATGAGATGGAAAAGCAGATGGCGGAACCCACGACAAAACAAGATGCAATGCAACGCGGTGGACTTGGACCCCTGGCTGCCATGGCAGGAATGACACTTCTTCCCATGCTTTTGGGGAGAGGAGAGTCCGGAGACATTGTGGAAGCGCAAATGAAAACAGCTTACAACCCTGCCATGCACCGAGGAGGTCTAGCCATTCCACCAGGATTAGCCGCCAAGGCCATACCACTCCTGACGAACCTGGCTGCTCCCTTGGCCATGGGTACCATGGCATCACTGGGTGACAACGTAATGGATAAAATATTCGGCAGAGGAGTAAGGAAGGGAAGCTCAGCAGGTGCCATGAAGCGCACTAAAAGTCGTCGTCGTCGGCATGCACCGAAGAAGATTCGTCAACGAGCATCTCGAAAAACCAAGAAACCAGCTCGTCAAGTTCGCTCCAAAGGCCGCAGGGCACGAGGAATAAAGAAACAAGGAAGGGCCTTGTTCAAAAAACTAGGACATCGTGCCCTCGACGAAGCTTCATCGTTCCTGTCTGCACCTCGTAGATCCCTAACCCGTCCTGAAACTCCATTTGCTCAAAAAATTCGACAGAACATTAACAGTGCAGGACCGTCTTCTATGAGTTCCGCTCACATCGGTCCATCCTACAACATCTGATCATGGACTTTATCTCGCTCCTTGGACAGGAAATCGGGAGGAAGAAAAAGACTAGTCCCGTAAGGAACGACGATGTTCCGACCACGGCCACTGCTCGACACGGGCTGCACATTCCTGGTCTTCAGTTCGAGTCTAAGGATTGGTTCACGGAAATCATTCCTGCTCTGAAATCCTGGGGTCAAAACGTATTGTTTCTGGGACAGAGCAACATGGGTAAATCCTACTTTCTCATCAAGCTCCTGAAACGTGTGCAACCTGAGCGTATAGTTGTCATCTCCAACACGCCGGCCGATCAGTATCGTCTCCCAAGCCTCAAATCCTTCAAGCATTACAGCACCATGCCCGAGTGTATCGAAGACATGGATCTCCAGCCTAACACCTATGTGATCATTGATGACATCAGAGTGATGGGTTTGAAGCACGGCAGCCAAAGAGAGTGTCTCTACAAGTTCTTCACCATGTACAGTCATCATCATAAGTTGAACGTGTTCTTTCTCTCTCAGAGCTTTGATAACATTAAGGACATGAAGATCAATGCAAACTTTATGTATCTATTTCGCTTCACTGATAAAAGCAATATCAAGCGTTATCTCAATACTCTGTTTGGTGGTCTGTGCACGAAGTCATCCATTATCTTTAGATTGTATGAGAAGTTATTGGCGGTGTGTCGCAGACCTATCCTAACCATTGATTGCTCTTCTAATCAGTACTACACGTATTGTGAAGACACTGCATTAAAGGTGACTTTTGAATAAAAACCTCGTTGATGTGCGTGTTTAGCCGAAAAGTTAGCCGAAAAGTTAGCCGAAAAGTTAGCCGAAAAGTTAGCCGAAAAGTTAGCCGAAAGTTAGCCGAAACATTGAAAAAAATTCCAATAATGAATAAGAATGGAGCATCTTACGGTGAAATTCTCAAATGGGCTACCGAGCAGTATACAGAGGGTGGGGTCCAGAAAGGGATCCTTCTCGATACCCAAGCGTAAAAGGTTGCAAACCTTGCAGTTTATGTCGAAACATCCTCAACACATCCTCAAGAAGAGAGTAAATTCGTGGGAAGTTCTCGGTATACCACCACTCATGCGGCAAAAAGGAGGTAATAACTACAATACCTACTTGAAAAGCGTCAAGAAAGTTCTTTCTCAAGTGCCAGATCACAGTTTGAGCACCTCCACCCTGTTGGAACTGCAAGCTGACCCGCGAGTAAAGCGTCTATATGACACCCACTTCAAAAACAATCCCGATCACATCAGTTACCCGTCTGTGAGAAATGTGATTGCATCCAACATACTCAACTATGATTCCACTACCGATCAAGTTCGCGATTCCGTTGCAGATGTCAGGAAGAAGAGAAAGGCACCTTTAACATCAGTGCCTTTCAATCTATTACAAGACCACGAATTTGACCGATGGATCCTACAAATCCTGGACAGTTTCCTCCGACATACAAATATACCGGCAACCTTTTTGAAGAGCAACTATTTCACAAGCCGATCACAACTGCTGCAACTCTACGATGAAGATCGACTGAGGTTCAGGAGTCGGGTGGAAGCGGTTGCGGATGCCCTGAAGAC